TTACTTTTAGCCGTGTTTTGCACGATTATATTGTAAGGGTGACCCTCTCACAGACCTGTGACCTTCTTTGGTCGCGTATCATGTGACTTCCTGACTGATTCACAGGAAAGATCTAGCCTGTTTTCCTATAATGTGGTCAGTCTTATGGCATCAGTTATTTAAGATGTTGAAAATGCTCCAGCTGGATTTTTAAGAGAGTAAATGTTAAAATGAAACATTATATTATAGGTTATGTTAGAGATTTGGAAGGGTTTCTGTTAAAATTACATTTTTGTGTGGTTGCAGTTGTGCTTTGGTTGTTGGCAGCTACATTACTACATTACAGCAATGCTAATGCTAGTACTGACAATGAGCAATAGTCATGCTAATCCTAGTACACACTACAATCTCTACTTGCTCATCCCATATGTTAGTATGCTAACATGTACTATTGCTAGGAGTATTTCATAAACAAACTTAAAATGTATTATTTAACTTATAACTTTGTTGTTCTTAATTGTTGAAATATTATTTTTTAGTTACAATGATACAATGAGTATTATGAATATTACATGATATGTGTCAGTGTTTCTTGTATTGAATGATGGTTTTATGGGTTTTATAAACATCTGTTATGGTGCTGTATTTGATGAATCATTATACAGACAAAAACACAAGGCCATTTAATGTGACTTACAAAGACACACTGACATAAATAAATCATCTTACCAATTTCAGTGCATCTTGTTTGTGAAAAAGTAGGTTCAGCATAAGTGATCTCTTTATCGCCAGTCTCACCTGATTCTACAACAAAACTCATTTTGAACTATTATTAGTCTTATTAGTGCTGTCAAAGTTAAAGCATTGATGCATGTAATTAATTAAATATGTTTAAGGCGGCAATTTGTAAAACAGCATCAACAAATTCTGATTATACATTGTTCAAATACACAAAAATTCCAGAGCTGAGTATCTTTATTACTAAATAATAGACATTCTATAAAAAATAATTTATAAATCAAGACCAGATCAAATGTCTGACAAATAAATTCAAGAAAATTCATAGTGAAATATAGTCTTGATTTAAGCTCAATAAGTGAAAGATCATCTTGCAGAGATATGTTAATTTGAACATAATCCTATACACATTTTTATGAACAATTATTAACATCGATGATTATGAAGGACTATTATTGAATTTTGGCAGATTTGCATTTCTCTGTTTGTGTTTAGCAGATTTCCTTTTTTTTTTTTTTTTTTCAATTGCCAGATTTGCATTTCTCTGTTTGCATTTCCAGTTTTTTTTAATGCAGTTTGGGAAATATTTTGTTGTTGTTGTCTTCCGAGTGAAATGAGTAGAGTTTGATCCAGTCTCATTACCTGTATATTAATGTGGATATGTTTCTGATATGAGTGTAATATACGGAAATTGCTTAAGCCAATAACTACATTTCAGTTACTTCTCATATTAAAGAACTAGAGGGTGTTACCTCCAAACAATTATGAGATTAATTGTGATTAAATGATAATTATGGCTATAATTTGAATAAAACACTTTGAAAGCAGTAGGAAACACTTGCCTTCTTGGTTTGTTTTTCTTTGTTTCCGGCAGATCCAGAAGATCCCAGTTACAGTGACAATCAACAGAGATCCAGCAGCAGAAATCAGCACTATCAGAGATACAGAGTCTGGAGGATGAGAAGGAGAGTAAAGGAGATACATTATCATAAGTGAATAAAGACTATATCAGTGCTGCTGTACCTGAACATGTGTGACAGAGTTGACTGATGTCCAGATGTGTGGTCTGGTTGCTGATGGGATTGTTGAGCACACAGCTGTAGCTGTTTTTATCCTGATATTCCACCTCCAGAGGTAGAGAGAGACTGATGCTGAGATCAGACACACTGATGCTGGACAATAAACTGTTTCCTTTGTACCAGGAGAGAGTCACATGACCCACATTCACCACTGAACACACCAGTGAACAATATGATGATGATGATGAAGAAGTGCCTCTTCCTGTCCTGCTACTAACATCAGTTGATCCACACAGAACAGCTTCACAGTCAAATAAAGTACTCAATCCATGATATGACAAGATGTAACTGCTTGAAAACTCAAAGAAGAGTCACCAGTCAGAGATCAAACTGGATTCTACAAATAAAAAATTACTGATAAACTACATAGATTCACTTCTGATTAATTTTACAACTGGCAATTGATTAATGCGGAAGTAACGTGTGTTGTAGTGCAACCAATAGTTCCAAGAGTGGATAGCTTGTCTTCTGAGTTTTACATATTGTTTGCAAAACAATTAGCTCCTTTCCTTTTGCATGTTTTCAGAGAAAGTATTTCAAAAGGCCCTCTTCCCTTATGTTACTCCCAAATGCCAAAAAAATATGTTTTTTTTCTTGACAGTCAGCTCCCTATATGTCTTCTTAACAATGATTATAAAATTCTAGCTCTAATTTTTGCTAAATTAAAAAAAAAAAGTAATAGACTCTTTTGTAGATGAATCCAAGTCTTTTTTTTTTTTACGTATTTCTAATAATATTAGATCAGTGTTAGATATTATTGATTATTCAGACTTAATTGTTCATGAGAGCTTTATTTTGTTTTCAGACCTTTATATATCTTTTGAGTCTGTTGAGCATAATTTTCTTTTTCATGCTTTAGAAATTTTTTCTTTTGGTCCTTTTTTATCAAAGCAGTTTACACTTTATGCAAATGCAAATTGTTCTATCAAGTAAAAAGAACAACAACAACAAAAAAACAACAGGCTTATCTACCAGATTTAATTTGCAACATATTTATTTTTACTAGCTGGACATTTGCTTTATATTCATCTTTGGGCAAGCTGCAGGGCATTAATATTGCTGACAGGCAGGTCATACTGAGTCAACTAACGGATTATACTTAATTGTTTTTACACAACTCTGCTCAGGTTTCTCAGGCTTCAGGTTTATACTTAAATATGAATAAATGTGAGTTATTTTCAATCAAACATTGTCTTTTGACAAACATAGATGGTATCCCAGTGAAAGATAAAGTCACTTATCTGGTTATAGTCATATCAAAGGATGTGTGGATAACACTTTCCTGATTATGGAAAAAAACTAAAAGAAACCAAATCTCTGGTTACACAGAGATTTGTCTCTTAAGGGCAGAACTTTACTTTCTAAAGTAGAGGGTCTTTCTCGTCTAGCTCTACAACGTTTCTTTATGTTGATGCTCAGACTTCTAAAACCACTGACCAATATTTATTGATTTTTTAATGGAAAAATAAGAAACATTTCATTAAAAAGTCTGTAGTCATGTGGTCTCAATTTTATCCACTTACTGCTGTTAATTATACATTCAAAATTAATTGGATTAAACGACACTTACAAAATCCCACCTCTTTATGGAACTTCATACCAAATTAAAAATTTTTTGCTTTTGTGTAATTAAAATCCTGACAAAATCGTACTTTCCCAAACAATGTCTTTTAATATTGTCTTTAATTTACTAGCATAATTTCCCCCCGCATAGTTACATAATTTGGCACAACAAAGATTTACTGTACAAAAATAAATAAATTTCCTTTGATAATTGTGCAAAAAAATATTATTTTGGTTAGTCAGTTATTTAATGACAAAGGAATACCTTTTAAATATGAGGATTTTTTTTTTCAGCCCTGGTGCTGTCTTTTATTGGAACAGACATGTAGGTAACATTAACTGGGAAAGAGTGAGGGTTTTGCCTCAGAAAGTGTCTTATAAAAAGATACATAGATGCTATCCTACAAAGTGTTTTTTTTTTTAACAGCAGCATCAATTTCTAGTGAGCAGGGACGTGCACAGACATTTTGAGGGGCAGGGGCACAAGTGGAAAAAAGGGCACTTCTCATATTGTTTTAAACAAAACGTTAAATATATTAACAACTCTGACTGACTTACCAATTTATTTTAATTCCCTCACGCTTACCCAATTGTTTCATGTAGTTTCATTTTTTCAACAGATGTCTACAAAATGATCAGTTCACATAGAGACCATGTTCTTCTTTAGCATTCACTAATTGTATCACAAGAACAGGCAACAACAAAGGAAACTAAGCCACAATGTGCAGGTTTTCCATGCTATTAGTTTCAAGTATATATTTAGAATAAATGACTGCACAAAGGAGAGAGGGACATATTTTCACTTATAATTTGTTTATTTTGCACAAGACAATAAATAGTTTGAATTCTTTTGGTGTTATTGTAATATATATGCCCATGATATATTGCCTTAGCTAAACTTTAGCTAACTTATTACATGGTAGCTCATGAGTCATGGGCGCTAGCAAGACAAATTAACTATGTATTTGCCTTTTGGATAATTAGCTGTATATTCGAGGCCCAGGTAGCTTAGTCTTTTGGGGGAGAAAGGCATCGGAACTCAACAGTTTTTCAACATTTCCTGACCCGACCCGATTTATTAAAAAAAAAAAAAAAAGAAAAAACTCCCCAGAAAAAAGGGCACTTTCTCGCAAGGAAGAAAAAGGGCAGGTGCTCAAGCCCCCTTTGATGTCTATGCGTGCACATGCCTGCTAGTGAGTAAAAGTATAGTGCTATTCAGATAGGCTCCTATGTAATTTCCTAGATATGTGATATTTTGATGTACTTGTAATAAATTTGCCAAAATGTCCAGCAAATCATAGTGTATATGTGTGATACTGTAATCACTATGCAATTAAGTTGATATTCAATTTAATTTCCTAAAAAGAATAAAACAAGAACAGTAAATGATAAAATAGTACAGAGAAGGGATGTGATTAAAATTTTTATAATTTAAGTTAGGTAAATGATAAACTAAAAGTTGGAACCACAAAAAAAATTTAAAATCCATACATCACAATAACACCAAAAAATGTGATACAAGAGTTCAAACAAAACAGAGACATCCTATTAGAGAATAAATGTGAATAACACCAAAAGGTACGAGTCATCAACCAGTATTTAACTTCCAATATTTAACATTCCAGTAGATAGAGTATTTGATCATCGTTTTTTGGGGAAATTTTCATACACAGCATCCTTCTTTGATTTCTGCAAGGAACAAATACACTCAATCAGGACCAGATACGACATTTTAGAAACTAATAATATAAAATTTGCTTCAGATTCACTCATAGAGTGCAAATTAATTGCAGACCATTCCACTATAGTGAGCAGAACCAAAGATTTTTTTTTTCAATTTATTTAACTATGTTTATCTGAATGTCTTGATTATTTCAAAGTTTAGAACTGTAGCATCAACAAAGCAGCACAAGAACAACAGCTGGAGGAAATAACATCATACATTGAAGTCATATACATCACATGACTTTTTAAACTGTTGAATGAGATGCACAGTTACAAAATTGTAATTTATTAATGACAAAACACTTTAGATGAACAGTGAGCAGACCTTGGGTGAGTTCTGTATATTTAGCCATTTTATGATGATGAATAGCCAAAATCACCTGATAACCTTTAATTATAGCTTCCTTTGTAACAAAGCATGTGTTTTGTTTCAAACACACAGTTACAAAAGACAGAGGAAACTTACATTAAAGTCAAAGGCCAACAGTTACAGTTTTTTCAATATTTTTTGTATTTTTTTTCCAGTTTTTCTGTTTCCATATATATATATATATATATATATATATATATATGCCTAAATACACATACACACAAAAGCCCCTGACCCATCCTTCGTGTCACATTCACATCATGTAGTACAGCAATCTGTTAAAGCAGGAATATAACTAAATGATTAACATTTGAGATCATTATCGGATACAAAGGACTTCATAAGGATGTATGTCACTGAGGTCAACATGAGGTGATTGTCTTCAGAATTTTTTTTTGTTATGCTGGTTGAAAGTCTCTTTACATCCCAATAGCAATCATTAAGTTAAGTGGTCTAAATGTATTTATATGTATATTTATATATTCTGTGGAAGGCGTAGGACAAAGAAATGTTCGTTCAATCAAAACGCTCTGTCCGAGCGTTTTAATTGCTTTTCCTACCTGCCTGTCAACGTATGTATCTGCATACCTCTGCGCACCCTGTTCGCGCAGACAGGATACGTCATCAGCACGTTCACACACGCTGTGCAGACAGAGCGAGAATGGCAGAAAAACATCAACAACCCGATCTTCCTTCCTGGTATTGTAGTACTTATAAAGTTTTCTCACCGGTGTAGCCCAGCGGTTCCCAAATTTCAGTCCTCGCGCCCCCTGCTCTGCATATTTTGCGTGTCTCGCTTAGTTAACACACCTGATTCAGATAACTAGCTCGTTAGAAGAGAGCTACGTGCATGAACTGTGTTCCGATCGATATGATCCTTACACAGTGTTCATTGCTCCCTACTCCCTGAGCAGGGGAAATCCGTTTAAGTTTACTTCACTTCGGAACATTCGGAACCGCTGATGTGGTTTATTGTAGAAATGTTGTCTCTGGTATTCTGGTCTGGGAGCGTAAATGCGTTCAGGGGGCGTGGCTTTGGACGGCGATTGTAGGAAAGGTGGGACGTTCGCTCTCAGTGCTATCAGGCTAAAGTTAGCATTTTCCAAGATCTCCTACTGCACCTTTAATAGTGTGTTGTTACCTGAATGATCCACAGCTGTGTTTTTTTTTTTGTTTGTTTAGTGATAGTTGTTCATGAATCACTTGTTTGTCCTCAACAGTTGAACTACCCGCTGTTCTTCAGAAAAAACCTTCAGGTCCCACAAATTCTTTGGTTTTCCAGTATTTTTGTGTATTTGAACCCTTTCCAACAATGACTGTATGATTTTGAGATCCATCTTTTCACACTGAGGACAACTGAGGGACTCATATGCAACTATTACTGAAGGTTCAAACGCTCACTGATGTTTCAGAAGAAAACACTTTTTTAATTTGAACATCAGGGTAAATTTAACTTATTTTGTCTTCTGGAAAAACAGTCAAGTATCTTCTGTAGCTTCTGAAGAGCAGTACTAAATGAAGAAAAAAAAAAAAGATTATATTTAGAACATCTTCATTCTGAATCTTCATTCTGTTCAAAAGTTTACATCTCATTCAAATACACAAAAATGGTTTAAATCCAAAGAATTTGTGGGACCTGAAGGATTTTTCTGAAGAACAGCAGGCAGTTTAACTGTTTAGGACAAACAAGGGACTCTAAATAACACAATATCACTAAACAAAAAAACACAGCTGTGGATCATTCAGGTAACAACACAGTATTAAGAATCAAGTTGATGTAAACTTTTGAACGGGGTCATTTTTATAAATACAACTATTATTTTCTCTTGTGGACTATATGTAAACGTCTTTTACGTGAAAGATCTTATTCAGATCAGTACTAAATAAACAATAACATGCATTTTTGTATGATCCCACTTATTTTGGTAAAATAATTAACATATTGTAGATTCTGCAAGGTGTATGTAAACATTTGACCTCAACTGTATATATTAGATTGCATAAAAAGACACTGCGTATACACTGAACGCGACAAAGCAACCGTAGCAAATACATTTGTCGTTTGTCTCAGAAGTAGCGAAGTACATCATAAATAGAATGAGGATTAAGAAAAGTGTAATGGTTTTCTGTGCTAAATGTTTTTTATTTATGCTACTTAACTTCTTTAGGTCTGCAAACTAAAACTAGCCATGCAAATTGGAAATACTGTATATTAATATTTACACTGCAAACAGTACAAACACGTAAAGGGATAGTTCACCCAAAAATGAAAACTCTGTCATTAATTACTCACCCTTATGTCGTTCCAAACCCTTAAGACCTTAGTTTGTCTTTGGAACACAAATTAAAATATTTTAGATGAAATCCGAGAGCTCTCTGACCCTCCATAGACAGCAAGGGTCCTACCACCTTCAGGGTCAAGAAAGGTACCAAGAACATCAACAAAACGGTAAAAACCATGAAAAATGGTTCAACTTTAATTGTTATGAATTCTTATGAAGCTACGAGAATGCTTTCTGTGCACAAAAAAACTAAAATAACAACTATATTCAACAATTCTTCTCCTCCACTTTAGCGCCATTTTGGAGAGTATCATGACACATGCACGCGCTTTGATCTGCACATAAACAACAAATGCGTGTGGTGCTGCTGATGTAGAACACATATGCGATGCACCTTGTTTACCACCGCATGTGTGGTGGTACTCTCCAAAATGGCGCTAGGGTGACGCGGAGGAGAAGAATTGTTGAATAAAGTTGTTATTTTAGTGTTTTTGCGCAACAAAAAAGTATTCTCGTAGCTTCATAAAATTACGGTTTATCCACTGATGTCACATGGACTGTTTTGTCGATGTTCTTGTTACCTTTCTGGACCTTGACCGTGGTAGGACCCTTGCTGTCTATCGAGGGTCAGAGAGCTCTCAGATTTCATCAAAAATATCTTAATTTGTGTTCTGTCTTACGGATTTGGACCGACATGAGGGGAGTAATTAAAGACAGAACTTTCATTTTTGGGTGAACTATCCCTTTAATGTAAATAGGTTAAAAACAAGCTTAAAAACTATCTAGTATAGGGATCCTTTGAAGGCAATTATATTTCACTTGTCTGTTCACTGACTGCCTGATGCACATTACACACAAAACTTAAATCAGCATAACTGACTGCAACATGTCTTTCTGCAACATAATCACAAATGATCTTACCGCTTTTTGTGATTTTGGCTTACACAAAGCTGAATCAGTTCTGTCTTCTTCCTGTGTCTGGACTGCATTAACAATAATCACAAACAATTTGAAACAACAAAGCTTGCAATCTTGTATAGATATCTGTATATCTGATTGAAATGCATGAATTAATATTTGTCATTCATAACTGAATTCCTCACCTGTTTTTTTACATTTCTTGCAGATGAGGTATGTCACGGCTGCAGCTACAATCAATAGAGATCCAGCAGCAGCAGAAATCAGCATCATGTTCAATGAAGGCAGACTCTGATCTGTAATTAACAAAATTAGCTGTTAAGTGTGACTGACCTTGTCTGTCCCATCTACAAAAAAAAATTAATAGATTCGTAAATTAACCTTAGTACATAGCTGCACTGACATACCTAGTATATCAGCACTGACATAACATGGCCAACAGAGTTGACTAATGTTGAGATGTCTGGTCTGGTTAGTGAATGAATAGCTGAGCACACAGCTGTAGGTGTTTTTATCCTGATATTCCAGCTCCAGAGGTAGAGAGAGACTGATGCTGAGATCAGACACACTGATGCTGGACAATAAACTGTTTCCTTTGTACCAGGAGAGAGTCACATGACCCACATTCACCACTGAACACACCAATGAACAATTCTGCTGTGATGATGATGATGAAGAACAGTTTGAAGAGTTACTGCTAATGACAGGAACAGGCAGACGAGCTGGAAGACATAACAGAACCACAATTTATTTGCAGCAGAAATGCACAAATCTGTGAGATACAATGAGACTCACAATGTCAGTGAATGTGGCCGATCTGCAAACAATTTCAGTAGTACAGCGACATGAACAATATTAGAGTCATCATTATTTTTGTGGTAATCAACCTTACGCCATAAATGCAGTGGATTGAGCTTAACTTGTGAGAATTCTATTAAACAAAAATATTTGAACAAATAAACTCTGTACTCACCATAGACAGTAACACTGAATACTTTTGATGAATGTTCAGCTCCAAATACATTTAGTTGATAAAGTCCAGCATGTTGAGTTGTGATGTTCATGATGGTCAGAGATCCAGTCATATCATCTAGCTTCAGTCTGTTTCTAAATCTCCCATCATGAACATCAAATGTGGAGAAAATTAGTTTTTCTCTATTGATTTTAGCTATGAGAGAGTCTTCCTTTCCAAATGTCCACAGTATGTCATCGTCCTCATGTATTTCAGTAACATCAGGGTGTAAAAGGACAGATTCTCCCTCCATCACTGACTTCATATCAACAGCAAACGCACCTGAAGATCAAACAGAAGCAGGTTTTGCGCAGATTAAGGCTCCTAATGGTTTACAAGTCCTGAAATCAGCTGCAGTTTTAATAAGTAACTATATATTGCCTGACAGACCAGAATCCAAAGTATATCTCACAATAATATCTCAGTTTGATCTGATCTGAGATAACAGCTAGTGTTAACTGTCTAATCTAAACAGCAGCAGTAGTTTGTTACTATGTTCTGAAACAGATATGAGATAAAAATGCCATTAAGCCATTTAAACATTTTTAAAACTTACCAATCAAGCACCACCAGCACAAACAGAACAAAACAAACATGTGAATCATTTTCGTCAACAGTTCCATAAGACTATTAGCTGAAAACATGAGGTCTGGTGTGAATCCTCCCACGACAGAGTTTGACCCTCCTAGTTTACACACATGCTCTCTTAAAACATGTTATATATAGTACATATAAACACTCTTCTGGTTCTTATAAAGACTTTAACCATTATTAATATTTGAAAACAACATTCATCATTATTATTTAACATTGATAATGTTTGAAAGGTATAGATGTCTGACTATATTAATTACACAAAAGCAGAAGAGTGGACTATTATGTTAATCTCCTTAAATTATATGGTAAAATATATCTTACTTATTTTATAATTCAGCTGAATATCCATATTTAAATTGTGTACATGAAAAAACAAGTTAAAAGAGTCTATTGCCAGTCTTACTGAGGTGTGACACGAGCAGCTCAACATCTGAGTCAAACTGAAACCTGTGGTCTGATTTCTGCAGAAAGGCGGCTTGATCTGCTGGGTGGACAAACAGTTTGTAGGTGAGAGTGGCCATTGGTCTTCATCCTGTTCTTCTGCATGAACCTCACAGTCAGCGTCTGACTTTACCTCTAAATACATCTGCTTTCCAGCGTAAAAAAAGTACTGAACCAAACCATCAAAACTGATGCATGTAAAACAGTCAAAAAAGAATCACAGTTCATAGGCCAGACTGACAGCTAAATACTAATTGCTACACCAGACTTAAACTTTTTCTTGGGTAGCTAGTTAGACACATTGGAATGTGTGTTCTACTCTTTTAACTAGACTCTGCTCTTGGATTCTCCTCTTTATACCTAAATTCTTCCTTAAGGCACAACAGGATTATAAGGACATAGGCCAGACCAAGTTTTCAAATACACTATAAATATTATATATAGGCCTATTATTATAGCAAATATAACTTTGTTTGACAGCCAATATTACTGAAGTTTAGTTTAAAAGCAGTCTTGCAGCAGTCTGTCTTAAGGCACTTTCACACCGAGGACAATATATACAAAAATGTATTTTTAAGCTTAAAGCTCGAATAGCGTTGCTTCCATCCACAAGAATATAAAAATAACTTTTACTTTACCTTCTGATCACACAGCAAAAAAGCTATGTTCTCCATCAGTATTTTAGTCCAGTACAATTGTCTAAAGATTTTTAAATCAAGATAAATTTAGTATAGAGAAGCAAATTGAATGAGTAAAAAAAAAGTCTCGTTTTCTGTGAAATGTATCAGAATGAAATGAGCTTTTGCTTAAAACAAGAACAAATAGCAGTGGGCTCAGAGCAATTCACTTAATCCAAAGGAAAAACTATTTTTCAAACCCCATTGACAGACATTTGTTCTTGTTTTAAGCATAAACTAAATTTTGTACAGTTTCTCAGAAAGCAATATTTCATATCTTCATTTTGCCTCTCAAGTGAATGTATCTTGAGAATGTTAAGATATTCTGTTTAGAATGTTTAGAAAATTCTGCCATCATATACCATCACTCGCCCTCATGTCATTCCAAACCATCTTAGAAAGACAAATGCAGATATTTTAAATGATATCGGAGAGATTTCTAGGGTCCTATGAAATCCATTTTATTTATTTATTTATTTTTTTCCATTTTAATTTTTCTAGACTCAGTTTTAATGGTTAATTTTAAAAATATGAATCAAAAAGCATGTCTAATTAATTGATACCATGAAATTTAAACAATTTAATAGTAATTTATTGAAAGTTACATACAAAAATTAAATTTGAAAGGGGTCATATGATGCTGCTAAAAAGAACATTATTTTGTGTATTTGGTGTAATGAAATGTGTTTATGCGGTTTAAGGTTAAAAAAAAAACATTATTTTCCACATACTGTACATTATTGTTTCTCCTCTATGCCCCGCCTTTTTGAAACGCTTCGATTTTTACAAAGCTCATCGTTATGAAAAAGCGAGGTGTGCTGTGATTAGCCAGCTATCCAGTGCCTTGTGATTGGCCGAATACCTCAAGCGTGAGACGGAAATGTTACGCCCCTCACATATCTCTTTGGATTTGAGACTTTAGTCTTTGCAACTTTACAGATCTTCTTTATGCACCAAGAGCTTGTAACACTCCAAAGAGAAAGGAAAAATTGAAATCGCATCATATGACCCCTTTAAGGCCCTGTGAAATACGTTTTTTTTTAACCAAATTTTGTGATTTTCATTAATTTTCTATAATCCATTTTAATCGTTTCATTAAATTTTAATAATCAAAAGCATCTCTAATTATTTGATTTCCTAAAAACTCTCAGAGCAGTTCTTGAGATTATGTTTATGTGTGTTCATGCAGGCCTACTCATATATTCAGGCGGCAGATGCTTAAAACACCTTCAGTACGGATGTGTGTGGTAAACGAAACCGCCGCCATTCACTCACACAGAGACAAGCAGCAAATGCAGGGTCCATATTTAAATAGCATTTTGGGGCAGACACTATCGCGTTTTGATTTAAGCATACTGACCTACTTTTTATTTGTTCATCCAAAATCTGGCAAATTTCGTGACATTTTATGACTGGATTCCGCATCACGGAAATCATGGGCCCTAGATTTCTGTTCCTCCGCTTTCTACACAACTACCACTTTGACACTTAGAAAAGTTCATAAAGAGATCGTAAATAAAAGCCTAAATAATCTGTTCATTATATAAAGCGATTGAGTCTCTTCAGAAAATTTAAAAAGGATTAGTTGTTTAATCCATATGAATTGCAGACTGTCAAGGGAGAGAGAAATTGATGACAGAATTTTAATTTCCACAAGACTGCTTTCACATTATTTATATCGCTCTTATATTTTTTGTTATATCAAAGTTTTTTTGTCAGCTTAGCACATATGCACTGCTGCTATGACGACAAAACAAGTGTGAAGGGAATAGACGATCATTCAAAATAGTTGTATTTCTGCAACCGCATTTATTACATCAAATTCTAAACAACAAATTGTACTATACATTTATTAGTTAAATAAAATAACATGTACACAAATAACATCATACAAGCACTAAAAAAAAAAATCCTGTTTGCATCCCTCAGCCATGGCCTGTAACGTTAGGTGGGGCAGCTGTTAACATAGAATACCAGACCAACAGCTATAAGTTCATTTTTTTTATCATCGAGATAACAGCAGAGAAGGAACCGAGTGCTTCGTGCAATCATCTGCATTATTTTTCTTTAAAAAAACAAAAACAAATGAACCTACTAATTTTTCTCCCGTGTTTTCTTTTCATCGCCAATGGTAAGACATTACATCTCTTCCGGTTCAAGTTCGTACCAGCTTTAATTACTTTATATTCGACAGAAAGTCATTTATTATTTGTATTTTGTTGTCAGTGTGTTTTGTTTGACCACTGTATGACATGTATTTGTTATAATCTCTCATCTGGTAAATTATACATCGAAATACGACGTGTGACGCAGTTTCAAGTTTAGCTTAGCTTAGCTTTCTTTGTCGTGAATGAAAATGTAATGAGCAATTTTTGTTTTTTAAATATGTTCACTTTGTAGCGTACCTTGTACTAATGATGGCCAAGACTTTCGTGATCATTTTGCGATGTTTTATTGTACATCACATTCATATGAGTGTCTGTTTGGTTACAGAAAGTCACCGGAAAAGCCGAAAGTGGTATACATTAAACTCATACATACGCAACTCTTAATATAGTTTTACTAGTTCTCTGATGCAATTATTATTAGCACACACGGCACAATTTCACACACAAAATTTTACAAAACCGACAGACCTTCTCCTCGTGTGTGTGAAACATAGACTGTGTGAAACACTGATTTTCCGTTAATAACCGGCTCTCTCTGGGTTTCAAAATAATAGTCCCACATAATAGAATGTGTGCAAACCTTTCAATACGTATCAAAATGCGCAAAAACAAATAATGATATTAACTGTTACACAGTGATTTGGTATATTAATGCTGTCTAAAAGTAGCATGGCCTCATAGTGTGATTAAATGTTTTATTTTACATCAGTACACTAACTACATTCAGACCCTGTTAACTTCTAGTAAAAACATGCATTTCCAGTTATTCGATCACAAGTGGTCAGGCGAAGTACGGTTTATATCTGCTCTTAACGTGCATTAAATTGTCATGAAAATAGAAAACATTTTTAAGGTGTTAACAGTTACACAGGTTGCACTCTGCTGAAAACAATAACACACATTGCGTTTGTTATTAAGGGTAAACTGTTATTTTTACATTTGTATTGTCTATTTTGTTCTTCTAGTTTGAAAAGCAAAGTTCAAGCAACTTCACAGAATGTTAGATAGGACTACATCTGAGTTGCCACTAACAGGTATGTTTGTATATATGGCAAGTCTCTGCAGGATGGTGGCGTCATGATTTGGTGACGTCACATTGGTGGTTGTGTTTAGGGGTGGGGTCAGGCAAGGGGCATCATTTTCACTGCAGAAACAAACACCCATCCGCTTCTAAACGCAGAGGCATTTGTGTCTGGACAGAGGTAGGACGTCCCTGATGAAACAAATGACTTTTTCCGTGAATCAACATTTGAACTCGTAACTACAAAAGTAGCATCCTCATTATACATAGGCTACTTACACTGAGATCACCTGAAACTTACCCCAAATGCATGTAATGTTGAATGTGACAACAAGTGACTACAGATGTTTAGTGTCATTCAAAATGTCTCGGTGCGTATAATAAAATGGTCTCATCCCCTGGACCGCTGTTTAACCACCAATAAATGCTAGAAAATGTCACCAAGAGTGTGGCTTTCGCAGGCCTGTCATGTTTCATTTTGCGTTTTCCATGATTGTCTGAGTCCAGACAAAGGGCTGATATAGCGGTCTCAGTGAATTCTCCATCCGCGCTGTGCCTGAGCTCCGCTCTCTCGACGATTCTTGGTGTCTTAATCGCGTTGTGTCTGTTAAATTTGTTCTTACTCCTCAAAAAGCACCGCTACCACAGTGTTTCCCCTTATACCATTAACAGAATAGGCAATTAACGCCGATATAGTTACGTACATGCATCAACTTTTTTTTTTTTTACGCAACAAACCCTACCAGCCTGTACTAAACGCATGTGTCACACTGAATACAGTTCATGGTGCAACAAACGCCTTCTTCTTCTTTGGTGTTTATTGGCGGTTGGCAACCTAACTGACTGGTGCATTACCGCCACCGACTGGAATAAAGTATGGATCAGGATTTTGCTTGTAGGACAAAATAAACCATAAAAACCAATCAAAACAAATAAACAAACAAACTAGAAATTAAAACAAAACAAATAAATAATAATAAAAAAGACTATATTCTTTTATATGAGTCGATTTAACCAAATTATGGTGACAAAAAGTCCCAGTGTCATGATCCCGTCTTGGTTTTGGGTTTTCTTCTTCTTCTTCTTCTTTAGATTTGACTGGTGGCTGACAACCAATTTTAAAGGTGCATTATCGCCACATACCAGACTGGAGTGTGGAGCAGTATATGACAAACAAGGCAACAAACACCTCAATATCTCATACCTACTATATACAAATAAGGTGTATCCTAATACAGGTATCAAAGTCCCATTTAATCATCCAATTGTTCATGTGCAACCCGCTTAATAGTGTGCAAAAATCTAATTATAATCACATGGTATTTAAGGAGAGATGGCAAAAGTTTCAGGGAATCAGTTAACAGATCTCCTGCACAATCACTATGTGTCGTTTTCATTGCCTGGTAAAATACTTATTTCTGGATGTTTTATAGTAGTGCTTCTCAACGGTGGGTTGTCTTTAGCAAGATGGTTTTGTGTGGGTCGTGGAGTGCGTAGTCAAAGAAACAACAACAACAAAGCATAATTCAATGTTTCCCCCCTAATGCGAGACTTTTATTTTAAAAGACATGCGCGAAAGCTGTTGCCCCTTCTGTCAGGCACAGTTTAGAGTGTTGTAGTTTAATTCAGTATCTACTGTAAGATAAAGTGATGGTATCAGGCATGTCTGTGTGATTTATATAGTGTCTTATCTCTGAAAAATTAACATTCCTGTCTTGTCAGAAGATCCAAAAGTTTCTTATAGCCTACACACACACACACACTATTCACAAAAAGTTAGGGATATTGGACTTTTGGGTGAAATGTATAGAATATGTAAAAAGTTCATGCTACAGTGATATTATATCATGAAAGTAGGGCATTTAAGTAGAAGTACTTGGTAATTTCTTCATCTCAAACAATTTATTGAAACAAAAGCTAACAACAAAAAATGTCAATGTCTCAATAACTTGTCATGTGTCCTTGAGCATCAATTACAGCTTGACAACGACGTCTCATGCTGTTCACAAGTCGACTTGTTGTCTGCTGAGGCATAGCATCCCACTCTTCTTGAAGGGCTGCCCTCAGGTCATTGAGGATCTGGAGTGCTGGGTTACGACCCTCTACACGATGACTCAGCTGATCCCATAGGTTTTCTATGGGATTCAGGTCTGGAGAAAGTGCAGGCCACGCCATTTGAGATACGCCAGCCTCCAGCAGCCGTTTCCTGATGATGCGGCCTCGATGAGCTGGGGCTTTGTTGTCCATGAAGATGAAATCAGTGTTGCTCATGCAGAGGCACAGTGACTGGATGTTATTCAGGTAGTATTGGCTTGTCACAGTACCATTCACAAGGTATTGGCTTGTCACAGTACCTGCCCAGACTGTAACACCACCACCTCCAAAGGCTCATGGTGACAACAGTGGCTGATGCATATGTTCTCCTTGACGTCTCCAGCAGCGTTGGTGGCCATCATTTCTGCTCAATGTGAATCAACTTTAATCAGAGAACAGCACTGAGGCCCACTGGTTCCTCGTCCAGCGCAAATGCTCCCTGAAAATAATCGCTATTAAGCTAATCGCCTTTTTTTGTAACTTCATGACTTAACTGACGACATAACTACAACACTGCATACTCGTAGTTTAATTTGGAACCACTGTTTTATGTTATTGATCAATGTTTTTATTGTCTGAATTTGATTTTATTTTTTTTTTTTCAGTTTCCTGGTTCATAGATAGTTTAAATTTATTCTGACATACTCTGAAATTCTCTAGTAAATTGTTAATTCACCCCAAAAAAAATGAAAATTCTGTCAACATTTACTCACCCTCATGTCATTCCAAGCCTAAGACACACAAATGAAAATATTCTCAATGAAATTTTAAATAATGAATAATGAAATCTCCATTGACAAATGTAACTACCATTTTGATGCTTCAAAAAGTTCATTAAGAGATCGTAAAAATAATATGAATGTGAATTTGATTAATGTATCAGTAGTGTAAATTCATATGTATGAACACATGAATTTAGCTGTTTAGTCCAAATTTTCTGAAGAGACTCGAATCTCGATTGTTTTATATCATGATGAACAGATTTAACTTTTGATTTTTATTCACCTATAAACATTGATCAGCGAACATAAACAGAAGCTCAATCATGCTTGATGCACAAGAACAAACCATCTGTGTTCGAAAATAGCTTTCTATACCCTCATTCACTATTCCCTACATTAGTCAACTGATACAGTACTTTGAAGGAGTGAATGAAAACAAGTGAGCGAATTTGGCTACTGAGTGCACCAGAAGGGCTGCTGCTTTTACATTTTGTGCTTTCAGTGTAATAATCAGATGAATCTCAGCAAAGCGTCATCTAATGTCGAGACTAGGAATTCATTTGGCACGACCCTCATAGTGCATTATAGGTATTAGCCACTGAGTGTACATCGGTTGTACACACGGTTGGGGAAGTTGTGGCCTAATGGTTAGAGAGTTGGACTCATAACCCAAAAGGTTGTGGGTTCGAGTCTCGTACCGGCAGGGATTGTAGGTGGGGGAGTGAATGTACAGCGCTCTCTCCCACCTTCAATACCATGACTGAGGTGCCTTTGAGCAAGGCACCGAACCCCCAACTGCTCCCCGGGCGCCGCAGCATAAATGGCTGCTCACTGCTCCGGGTGTGTGTTCACGGTGTGTGTGTGTGTGTGTTCACTGCTGTGTGTGTGCACTTTGGATGGGTAAATGCAGAGCACTAATTCCGAGTATGGGTCACCATACTTGGCCTCACGTCACGCCACGTCACTTATTATTGTGGTGCATTATGGGATTGAATGAGTGCACTCGATAACATTCATTGTTAGACTATGGCAATACTTGGTTGACTGAATCCACAAATATAGGCTATGTATAGACAAACAGGGTAAAATATGAATCAGGATGTGGTTTGTATGATGTTCAATTGTCTAGGATCATCCATAAGACTGGTGTACGTTTTTCTGCTGTTTGCATGTGTTACATAAACCAATATGTGATTTATAATGAACTGTTAATTTCTTCTTCAGGTGTGTCTGGTTCTGATACAGATGGAGAGTCGATGGAGGGAGATTCAGTCACACTAGACACTGGTGTTACAACAAACCAACAAGAAAAAATGATATGGTATTTTAATAACACTCGCTTAGCTCAAATTAGTGGAGATCAGAGTAAGATCTGTACAGATGAACAGTGTAAAATAAGATTCAGAGATAGACTGCAGCTGGATCATCAGACTGGATCTCTGACCATCACAGACACCAGAACCACAGACTCTGGACTCTATAAACTAAAGATAATCAACAACAGCAGGAGCATCAGTCCAAAGATCTTCAATGTTACTATCACTGGTGAGTAATATAAAGAATGTTTAAAAGCAGGGTATATATTTTTAAATCATGTCTTTAATGTGTGTTTTCTGTGTGCCTGTCTATTAATTCACATACCACATTTATCACCTTCACGTGCATGCCAACTGACACAATTGTCACAGTAGTTTTTTTATTTTATTGTATTTTTACATCCTTTTTAGACAGGAAAGCATGAGGCGAAGAGAGGGTAATGGTATCAGCACACAGGATAATTGCGCTATCTTAACGTGCTGTTGAAAACTAAGTGAGGAAGCTGGATCAATATGCATATAAAAAAATGTTTAATGAATCCAAATCTAATACATAATCTATGACATGAACAAGAATACAGCGCAAAACCCATGAATACAAACAATAATTGACAAAAATAATGGCAAACCCAGGGATAAATACATGACTAATGAAGGGCAAACAAGGAACACCTGGACACAATTAGGGTGGGATAACAGTAAAATAAATACCAAGACCATGCACAAGACTACATATGGACGTTAAATCAGGAACAATACAAAATCCAAGATTTAAAAACAAAAAAGACACTAATACAAAACACAGATTGTTGAATCTTGCTATGTTGGAACGATGCCCACAAGGCTATCGGAATTGACTTCACATTGCATTTTATGTGACATTGTGAATCTTGCTATTTTAAAATGTTGTTATCAACAGAAAAAATTTATACAAATAGTGATACTGTTTCTTGTTCAGTTAGCAAGGCAATGATGCTGCTTTAGGTGCCATTCTTCAAAATCCCACCAGATGGAGCCATTTATTAGTTGAATAAATATCATAAAACCGATCAAAGTAGAAAGGTGTAAATATCAGTCAAAGATAACATGGATTATCATTCACTCTCTAGTAATAATGACTGTCTGTCTTTAGCTGTTTCAGATCCAAGACTGTCTCCAGCTGCTATAGCAGGAATAAGTGTTGGTGTTATTTTGCTATTCATTGCTGCTGCTGCTGCTGCTGCTGCTGCTTACTATCGTAAGTGTCAAGACAGGACAAACAAGGGTGAGTATTACATACAGGTGACTTAACAAGATTGAAAATATGAGATTTATTGTGTGTAGTGTGAAAAGACTCATTAAAAGATGTGAAAATGTAGTTTTATTCTAACTAACCAAAGTAATGTGTATTTAGTTGACTTTGTTATTGTTTCAACAGACATTGAGATGCAGCACAATCAAGGTCGAGATCAGGTGAGATTCTATGTGCATTAACTATGTCTGCCTGCTAAAAAAACAGAATTTACTACAGATTCAGATCTGTGAGATCTGTAAGTGGAGTGTCTGTTACACTGTGTGTTATGTGGTTTCAGAAATAACTTTATTTAGTATTAATAATAATTGACTAATAATTTTCACCTTACAGTGAAGAACAGTTATTAATATTTTTAATATTATTATATTAATAATATTTTGTTTCTGACCCCACTTTAGTGTCATGGTGTAACATAAATTTACACTGTGATTAGTTGTCCTTTATAGTTTTTTGACCTGTATTTTTATCAACATAAATACAGACGTTCAAGCTGAGGCAGAGCCAAAAAAAATAAAAATAAAATAATAATAATAATTAAAAAAACACAAATTCCCAAATAAGCTAAAAAAACAAATTATATAAAACAAAAAGATCTTGCAACATAATTTAGAGAGCAAGTGTCTTATTAGAACACACAATTTATGACAGTAGCATTCTCTAGTCTTGTATTTTATTGTATTTTTGTACTTGTGTAACTGAATCATCAATGCTGTTCATTAATATTACCTTCTGTGAATCTCTGTACTTACAGAAGAATGATACTATAGAAGACTCGTCCCCTAATCAGACAGTCCCTCTAATGAACCACGCTGCCAATGGGACATCCCCTAATCCGACAGATCCTCTAATGAAAAGCGCTACCAATGGGACGTCCCCTAATCCGACAGATCCTCTAATGAAAAGCGCTACCAATGGGATGTCCCCTAAATTAGACTGACCCTCTAATGAAGAAAGCTACCAAGGGGCATCCCCTAATCAGACTGACCCTCTTGTGAAGAACGCTACCAATGGGACGTCCCATAATCAGATTGACCCTCTAATGAAGAAAGCTACCAATATGTTGTCCCCTAATCAGATTGACCCTCTAATAAAGAACACTACCAATGGGACGTCCTCTATAATCAGATCGACCCTCTAATGAAGAACGCTACCAATGGGATGTCCCCTAATCAGACTGAGGCTACCAGTGGCATCACCATAAATTTATGCATTTAGCAGACGCTTTTATCCAAAGCATTTTATCACCAGTATGTGTGTTCCCTGGGACCAAACCCACGACCTTTTGCTGTATCCGTTACTGTACAAAGTTACTGTAAAAATGTGCAAAAAAAATGAATCATACATTTAATATTTTTACCAGAAAGTGTAAACAAAAATTTTTGATATTTCATGAAGTGAAACGGTGCTCGTTGTAAATGTGTAAATATACAAATAATTTAAATTGCCAAAGAAATATGCCAAACTCCTCACAAAAACCTGTACCACAGATCTGGGCCCGTATTCACAAAACATCTTAAGCCTAAAAGTAGCTCATAACTTGCCGATTTGGTTTTAGTGACTTAGGAGTCCTCTTCACTACTCCTAATGTTTCACTGATTTAGGAGCTATAGTCGTGGCCAAAAGTTTTGGCAGTGACATAAATTTTGTGTTTTGCAAAGTTTGCTGCTTCAGTATTTGTAGATAATTTTTTCCACATGTTTCTGTGATATACTGAAAAACAACGATAAGCATATCATAAGTTTTAAAGGCTTTTATTGGCAAAAAAAATAAATAATTAGTCAATATTTACAGTGACCACAGGTTCTCTATGGGATTGAGATCCGGGAAGTTGCCTGGCCACGGATCCAAAATTTCAATGTAATGATCTTCGAGCCACGTCTTTATCACTCTTGCTTTGTGACATGGTGCTCCATCATGCTGGAAGGTGCACGGATCATCACCAAATTGCTCATGGATCGTTGGAAGAAGT